AATTATTTCAGTTGTGAAAATTCTGTCAGAAACTTATGAGAACAATCTTTTAACAATTAAGCCATCAGCTGGGCAAGGTGGTGCATGCCCGTAATTCCAACATTTGGGAAGCTGAGGCAGGAGGACTGCTATGAATTCGAGGCCAGCCTGGGCTACATAGAAAGACCTTGTCTCAAAAAAACAAAACAAACAAAAAAGTTAAGCCACCAACCAGCTGCCCACAGAATAAAAGAACATATCAAAGATAAATTAATTCAAAGGCTGAGGGCATAGCCCAGGGGCAGGAGCTTGCCTAGCAGTTCCAAGATCCTGGGTTCCATGCTCATCACCACCACACACACAAATTAATTCAAATTTTAAAGAACAGACAATTTGAGCTGAATCATGCCACAAGATACTGCCCAATAAATAGTTGGGTATATTTAGTCTCACAGGTCTTCCAAATTGATGGAAAAAGTGTCCCTTTCACAACTGTGGCATAGACTTTTTTTGGGGGGGTACCAGGGATTGAACTTGGGTCCTTGTGCTAGCAAGGCAGGCCATTGAACTGCTGAGTTAAATCCCTGGCCTGGCATAGACTTTTTTGAATCATGTACATCTGACAGAGAAGAATTTCAGTTAGATGTGAAAAAATTAGTATCTATCATGCCAGATGGTGTTCCAAAAATATGGATTTATTGGAATTTTAAAAAAGAGACTGATGTTTCCCTTACTGCTTTATTCTACCATATGATACATATTGAAAATATTTATGCTGCTTTCAGAAGCAGACTCTGAGGAAAGTGTCATGGACACAGTTGTTAAAATTGTTCAGTGTGTATATACAACTGCTATGAATCATTCCCAAGGCACGGAACTTTTGAAAGAAATAAAAGGCAATGAATTCAACAATTCTGGGTCTTTGCCAATGTTTCAGTGGTTGAACTGCTCAAGGGTTTTAGAGATTTACTGGGCTGTCAATCCCCATTCAAGATTTTCTTGAAGCAAAAGGAGTGCTTGCCAAATACTTAATAATCAAAGACAAAAACGACAGTGTGATTTATACTTCCTTGCCAATGTCACAGTGTATATGAATGAGATAAATCTGAAGGTCTGGGAAAGGAAAACGTACTTTGGGCCTATCTAGAAAGGTATTAGAATTTACATTGAAATTGTACCATTTCATAATACAAATCAGCAATGATGAGTCTGCATACTTTTTTTTTCTTTTTTGAGACAGGGTTTCACAATGTAGCCCAGAATAGCCTCAAATTGTAGCAATCCTCCTGTCTCAGCCTCCTGAGTGCTGGGATTATAGCCATATACCACTGTGCTTGGCTAGAGTTTGCATCCTTTCTAACATGAGCCAAGTGCAAAATATTTTTAACTGTAATCACCAGCATGATGTAAATTATCCCCAGAATCTACAAGAAAAATCTGCATAACAGATTGATGATGTCAATAAACTCAGTCTTACTCTTCAATGTAAGAAATACCCCTTTCTAGTCCATGTTAGTACTGAGTGGGCACGAGTGTTGGTGACCGACATAATTTGGGTGGTAACAGATTGAAAACTGATACAATTTATGCTTCCAGGTCAAACAATTCTTCCAGTAAAAATGAATGAGCTAGTTCTGTGACTGTGGACATGAGTATTAAAGGGGAAAGTGATTTTTTTTTAGTACTTAATTCACTCACTGGAAAATGTTTAAATATGTCCAGAACAACATGGGTTATGTGATTCTACTTTTTCAATTGTAAATGTGAATCTATTCCAAATGTTTTCGGTGACAACTTAGAGTCAGAACTGATTCCCTGGATTTCAAAGACTTAGAAGGGCAGTGAGAAGTACCATATCTCAGTATTGTCGTACTGGTTACATGTTAACATGGTACTCTGGAAATGATGCAAAACAAAATATAGTATTAAAATTAATGTTATCTGTCTCTAACTTCCACCCTCCCTCCTTCCCTCCCTTGCTTATTCTCTTCCTTCTTTCCTTTTGCAGTTCTGAGGATGCATCCCAGGGCCTTGTGCATGCCAGGCAAGAGCCCTACCACCGCGCTCAGCTCCAGCCCTTTTGAGAATGCTGAGACAGGGTCTCGCTAAGTTGCCGAGGCGGGGCTGGAACTTGAGATGCTCCTACCGTGTCACCCAAGGAGCTGGGACTGCAGGTATGAGCCTCCACACCTGGCATCGTTCTGCCTGGGAAAGCCGTGGTCACCAGAATGTTATAAAACCACAGGTGTGGGGCTGGAAATGCAGCACAGTGGTCGACTACCTGCTCAGCGTGCACAAGAGTCTGGGTTCAATTTTTAGCCCTACAAAAGTCAAAATCAAACAATGACAATTGCACATGTGGCTTCTGCTTTTATCCTATTCGACGGCACAGGTCTATGACATCTCCCTTCTCATTCGCGCCAGACATCCCTCAGGGGAGTTACTCCGGAGCTTAAGCGTGACAAGGGCAGTCTGGGGCACCTGCCTCCTCTCTCACCTCCCCCTGAGACACCCGAGCAGCTGGCCCGATCCGTGGAGCTGGCTGTGGCCCTGAGCAATCAGGCAGCAGTGCTGGGGGCTCTGACTCCAGAGTAAATGAACACAGAGACAGCAGGACCCTTTGGAAATCAACATGGTACCCGCGCCCAGGCTTGGGGTGGACTTGGGTAATCTGCCCGCGATGCAGTTGCTACTCCTGGGGGAGGCATGGATTGGATACTGCAGAATCAAACCAAAGGGCCATGACAGAAGTGGGGCTGGGGAAGACGGGGTGAGCCTCATGTCTGATGGGCCAGTCGCACCTCTAGACAGAGGAGAAGGAGATACAGGCTGGAAGCCAGGAAGGTGGGAACAGAAGAGAACGAGCTGGAGTGAGAGGTCTGAACCAAGCACGGGCAGAAGGCGGGAGGGGTGGCAGGAGGAAGGCACAGAAAGCAAACGATCAGGGCCTAGGTTAGAACAAGAGTCCTAAGAAAGCCATGATCTGAGTTTTGGGGTGGACACCTGGGTTATTAAAGAGAAACAATTCTCTGGAGCCCCCAGTGGGGATCCCTGCAGACAATAAAAGCCACAAGAATGACCTCCGTCCTCCTTCCTTTGCTTCAGGGACGAACACAGATGGGCTTTGCCATTTCCTGTCCCCTCATTCTACTTCCTCCAAAGAAAGCCCAGGTCCTGTGGGTCTCATGAATGAGATAGAGTCGAATCTGTCTGTCTCTCTCTTTGTATTTTTGGTTTTTAGAGACAGGGTGTTTACTCTATAGTTCAGTCTGGCCTTGAACTCATGGTCCTCCTGCCTCAACCTCCCAAAGAACTCTGTTCTTAATTCAGAGGAATTTAAAGGCTCACAAGTTTAGTGACCCTGTTTTTCAGGCCTTCCTCAGGTGTGACGCCCCCTCTTTATCCCTGTGCCAGAGGCCGCGTCTCAATGTGTTGCCTGGAATGGAACTCACTGCTCCCAGAGGCTGGAGGTGTTTCCTGAGCCTCAGCTCAGGGACCTCAGCCCTGCTCACTGACCTCGTACTGAAGCTCACTCCCTGCCTGCCTGCGTGACAGATGCAGATGGCGGAGGCCTAGATCCCCCGCCTCGGTCCCTACGCCGCCATGCTGGATAACTCACAACAAGGTGCCTCAGAGTCTGGCTCCCTGCTCGCACACTCTGCCGTGCATTCTGCTGTCCCCAGATCTGAACCCCTCACCCGGCCCCCGCTCAGCCTTTCTCCATGCTGCCCCCTCTGCCACAACTCATGCCTCAGAGCCTGCTCTGCTGGGGTCCCACGTTCACAGACATCAATGCCAGCAGCAGCTCTAGGGCGATCATTATTACTTCAGGTATCCCTGCCTCAAAAATTTTTCTCCAATGGATCTAATCAAACTCAGCTCCGTTTGAACTTTTCCTTTAATGCTATTTCAATTTAGTAAGTTTCTCCTTAGCTTTCTCTCTCATTGATTTTTCCCAAGACTAGCTTCTCTGCCCAACTTCCCCTGATTGAATTCCAGGAAGGCAAGAGAATTTGTTTGTTTAGTTCACTTGATATGTTCCAAATGCCCAGGACAGTGTCTGGCACGTAGTAGGTGCTCAATAAATAGTTCCTAAATGAATGAAAAAGAAATCATAACTCAGACTCTTCAAGAAAGATCAATACACATTACCAAGGACCAGTGCCCATGTTCACACGTAACATACAGGGCACATCTTACATACAGCAGCCTAGGAAGTTTTTGTTTTACCAATACTGGGTTGAAGAAACTTCCTTAGTAGAAACAGCAGTGGGCATGCATGCAGGCAGGGACTCTTTTCCTTCCTACGAGGGATTTCATCTCCGGTCTACCTTTTCTATCATCACTATTGACCAACATAAGCAGGCAGCAATCCAAGTGATACAACACTGATCCAGCACCGCCCTCCACTTGCCAACCCCCTTCCCCTACACCTTTTTGTTGCAGATAGTGAACCCAGGGTCTTTGCATGGAGCTACATCCTTATCAGTTTTTAATTTGGGAACAGGGTCTTGTTAGATTACTAAACTTCCCAGGCTCAACTGAAACTTGTAATCCTCCTGCTGCAGCCTCCCAGAGTGTTGGGATTACAGGTTGTGTCTCATCAAACCCAGCTTCCAATCTTTAATTTCTACCCAGATCTCTACAAATGCTTCCTACTGGTTCTTCCTAACTCTCCCTCTGTCCCATGCCCCACACATCCTCTGCAAGTGGCCCCTGACTTTCCCGCCATGGAAATTACCCTGGAGAGAGCCTGGGCGGCAGCATGGCTAGAAGATGACGCGTGACAAGCTGCCTGGGATGTGACATAAGAGAACCCCGCCCTGGGAGACTGGGCCTGGGGCTCTGCCTCAGATCCTGAAGGCTGGATGCTAAACCTCCCTCTCTTCCTCTTGAGCAGCTTTCGTGCTAACCTCGCTCTGTGTGTCAGAACTACAGCTGGCGCTCCCTGCTTTTTCCCAGTGGGGGCTCAGGCTGCTCTGGGCTCATGACGTGACCCGGGGCCGGCGTGAGGATACTACCTGTTCCATTCCTCGGGCAGCGGGATATCTTGAGAGCCAGGGCACCTGGCTTCTAGGCCTGGCTCTGCTACTAGTTGCATGACTTTAGGCAAATCCCATCACCTCTGTGGGCCTCAGTTTCCACACCTAAGGAATGAAGGGGTGGCATTAGATTAGTGATTCTCCACTTTCCTTTTTTGCCCCTCCCAAACACAACGAGTGACGCATCTGTGAGATACACACCCATGTGCAATTCCAAGGCAGACTCTGACCTCATCCCTCCCACTCAAGCAGGCTTCCCAGGATGAAAGGGGAGGATGAAGAAAATGTGAATTATTTACTAATATTTTTAAGAAATAAATAATCTTTGGGCTGGGGATTTAGCTCAGTGGTTTCCCCGCCTGCCTTGCAAGTACAAGGACCTGAATTCAATCCCCAGTATCAAAAAGAAAAGAAAGAAAGAAATAATCTTTGGGTGGGGATGTAGTTCAGGGTACAGTGGTGCCTCACATGGGTGCTATTCCCAGTACCACAAGCAGAACAAAGCAAAACAAAACAACAAAACCCCCTTCCAGGTTGGTGTTTTGCCTGCAACAGATTTAGTTGCACATTCTCAGAGTAAGTACAAGAAAAAACACACCTCTCCCATAGCATGGCATGAATGTGAGATGGGACACGCAGACCTTCTCATTTCTCCCTTGATTTGAGCCTTGCAGACTTCCCACACGGTTAGGGTCTCGTTAAGCAACAGTGTTATATTAAAATTTAAGGACATTTTATACATGGTCCCTAAATGCAAACCAGTGGTGTAGTGGAACTTGACATAAGAGCATCCATCTTGGAAGAAACATAAGGACATCTGAGTGCCTGGCAAGCCGGTCATCTCAGGACAAGAAGGGCAAACAATTCTTGTTTGTCCCTTGTTAATCTCCCAAGAGGATGTAGACAAAGTAAAAGATGTTTTTTAAGGGGTTAGAAGGAAAAAGTAAAACACAAAGTTGTTTTTGTGAACACAGCTGGCCAAAATATTATTTAACTTTTGATATAAAATAAAATGCTAAAAACATGCTTTTTGAACAGCTTCCATAAATACTACAGTTGTGATCATGAGGCTGCTGCTGGCCTGAGTGAGCTGCAGTCCTCTGATCCTGCTCCTCACATCCCGCATCTCTTCATTTTGCGACACCGTGACAAACGGCAACACAGTGGCATCAGATTCTGTTCAGCGAAAGAAATAAAAACCTGTACCTATGCTGGAGGCAAATCGACAGACAGCACGTGACCTCCAGTGCGCGTGACTTTGCAGGCTTTGCTGGCTTCTCCCCGTGTAAGAGGAGAATGCAGAATTTCACTGTCCTCGCTCGGGAGCCCGCTGCACACCCGCTTGCTCTGCGAAGCAAGGTGGATGGCTTTGGAATGAGCTGATCGCTAGGCTCCTGCCCGGCCTCACACTGCTGGGGAAGAGCTTGTGTAAGCCTCTGTCCTCTACCTGCCTATCCTGCCTAGGGCTATTTTTTCACTAAGAAGAATGCCCCTGTGCTGTAGTGATCATTTTCCTTGACAATATTTCTGCCTGTCTCTTCCTCATAGTTCTTATCCCCTTGGAGAAAGGGACAGCATTACTATCTCATGGTAAGCAAACATGTTAGCCCTCAAGATGAATATAACATTACATATTGCAAACATACCAATGAAAAATTTAAAAAAGCTCTCTCCCAGCGATGCCGATTTTCCCCTGCACTCAGATTCCAACCCTCTCACCCGACAACTGCTCTTCCTGTAGCTTCTCTCTTCTCGGGCAGACGGTACGCTGCAGAGGGCAGTTTACTCAGCGCTCTGGCGCTACTGTCAAAGCCTGGTACAACAGGAACCTAACAACTGGCTGGTGGATAAGCAAATGACGACAAGGCTCGAGGCAGAAACCCACGGATGAAACCAGTCTTGTCTACTGATTCCCCCAATCCTTCTTGTGCTGTATGGTAAGCACTCACACAAGTGCACACACAAAAAGTCAGCCCTGTGTACATTCTCTCCTAACTTTCAAAGCCAAAGCAGTTGAGATCTCTGTCCACAGTCAGTCACTGCAGGTCCTCGCCTCCCACCTCTTCCCGGACCTTCCCAAGATGGCATCAGGAGCCTCTGCCCAGGGAAGCTGATTCCAGTAACACCATTAAGATCTCACTCGCTGCCAGATTCACAGGCACAGTTTCTGTTCTCACTTTATTTGATCTCCTGATTCTAAATTGTAAAAGCATTAGAATGTCTACTGGGTGAGTTTATTATTCTCATATAAGCAGAGGGGAACAAATAATTTTTTTGAAACTGGGGAGTAACAGGAAAAATAGAGATTGCTTCACTCTCCCCAAAATGATCAGTTCAAGGGAGACAAAATAAACTGTCACTGAGAGTTTACAGAGATGAATTTGCTTAATTCTTTACTTATTCATACACACGCACACACACACACACACACACACACACACACACACAGTGAACCCCTTCCATGTGCCAGGGGTGGTAGGTACTAGGTGTTAAAGATGCAAAGGTAAATAAGACAAGAGAGGCATCAGGGAGTTTCCCACCTATTAGTAAGAGAGCTAATTTTGAATCTAAGAACACTGACATGTAATGTTCAAACAGAAAAATGCACACATTATAAATGTTCAGTTTGATGAATTTTCACAAACTGAACACACACTATTAGTAACAGTTGGATGAAAAAAAGCAGGACCAGCATCCCAGAATCCATCCTGAGTCTCCTCCTAGATGTTAGGAATAGCAGGTGCTATGCTTACCTTTATAGCATAGATTTGCACTGCCTGTTATTATTCTGTGTAATTGGAATCATACAGAATGAACTCTACGTGCTTCACCTTTCTAGCCCGCTCCCCTCGAACTGAGGCTTAAGTCTTTGAACTGAATTACATCCACTGCCCTGAGGTCTCACTAAGTCCCTAAATTCCCAAGTTGGACTTAGACTTGGGATTGTCCTGCCTCAGCCTCTCAGAGCCCTGGGATTACAGATGTGCACCACCTCGCCTGGCTACTCAACCTCTACCACATGAGACTGATACTGGGACTGTGGAGTTGGAGGTTACTCATTCTCACTGATGAACTCTCCTTTAACAATATCTCTTCCCATGTGGAACATCCAGTAAATATGGTTCCCTCTCACAAGAATATTTCCCCTCTACTTTTCCTTGCCTTTTCCCCCCTACTCCATGATCAACTTACACAGTATACACTTTATTTACTTAGTTTATTATTTGTCCCCTCCCAAGAATGTAAGTTCAGGGAGTCTGCAAAGTGTTCCGTAAACACTCTTTGAACAAGGGAACCTAAACTGTCTCCACATGGCAGCCAGCACACCGTGGCCACGTGGAATGGCATCTCACCCAGAGAGGATGGGTGGTTAAGAGCTACTGCTGGGTGTCAGTCAGTGGGAGTGGCCTGCCTGATGTGCCAGGCATGGCTGGTCTGCTGTGGTATCTACTCCACACCACGGAAGTGAGTATGAAGGTCCCACAGCAAATGCTTGCAAATAAACTTCCAATGTTTATAAAAATCAAAAAAGAAAAAAGATCAGGAGTATCCATCAATGGGGAATAGATCCCTCTTATGAGAAACTGGACATGAGCTTTCTGGATCTTGCCCTTTTTGATTTTTAATATACATCCATTTATTAGTCCTTAAAAATTAAAACATGTTACAAGCAAATGCATTCTAGTAATAAAATGGTTCTGTATTCATGAATTGATATGAAAAATATCACAAAGTCCTATATTCTATTAAAATAGCACATTTAATATTTGTGTACTTGACTTATAGTAAGCATTCACCTATTCTGTGAATGAATGAATAAAAATACTTTAATATGTGATATCACCCCAGTTGGGTCAGATAAAAAAATGACATCACATTACTAATAAATGCTGAAAAGGCACTAAGAAAAGAATCCAACATCCATTCCTAATGAAAATCTTGGCAAGCAGCAGAGAAGAAAGTTTGTCATGTGTCTCTCTGCAAACCATTGCAATCTGGCTTTTGCTGGCACTGAGCCACTGAAACTGCTTTCCCCAAGGCGATTGGTACCCTACATATTGCCAATCTAAAGCACTTGGAAAGATACCAACAAATATGTAATGAATTAAGAAATGGATGATAAAAGAACCTCTGATCAACAGACAACATCATACTTAACAATAAAATACCAGAATTGATTCTTTAAAGTCAAAAATAAAACCAGATGTGAGCTACCATTGCATTTAATAGCATTTCAGGAAGCTCAAACAAAAACACAACAAAAAATCAGGAAATGAAATACAAAGGTATAACTGTTGGCACTAAAGAAGTGAAAATCTTTTCTTGCATAAAACCTAGGAAAATCATGCAAAATATGATGAGAAATAATACAGCTCTAGAAGTTTACAAAATAAACACACAAAGAGTAATAGTTTTCCCCAAATATTAGCCAATGTAATGTTTGTGGAACGATGGGAAATGAGATAGTTGGGAAAGTGACGCATTAAGAAGGCAGGAAATCCAGCAAGTAAGAAGCAAAACACAAGAAATGAAGGGTACAGAATTTTAGCAGTACAGACTAAGGAAGAAAAAGATGTATGGAGAATAAGACTTTTTTTTTTCCCTCAAATGGCTGAATGTGAAGTGTAAACAATGAGTAGGCTCTGAAGTTTACATTAAATTCTAGTAAAAGCTACAGGCTTGATATCTCCAATGGGCAAGACAGGTCCCACTTAACTATAAGAAGGATCAAAATTGTAAAGATGGAAGCTGATGCAGTCCTGTCTTGGTTACTCTTCTTGTTGCCAAGACAAAATACTCAACAGCCAAAGCTAAAGGAGGAAAGGCTTATTGTAGCTCACAGTTTGCAGAAGTTTCAGTTCAGACTTGGCTGGCTCCAAGACAGGGTGGCAGGGCAGAGCGTCACCACAGAGGAGAAACAGTTCATGGTGGGAAGAAGGCAGCAAAGCAGTGAAGTAGCAAAGCAGTAGCAAGCAAGCAAGGGTAGCAGCCCTCTCTCAGTCCCTCATGGTCTATCCAGGCTACATACTTTTAAAGAGCACTCACACTCAGCATGGGCCTTCCCGTTATCCATGTCTGGAACTATGCCAAACCAATCAGTGGAC